GACCCAGGAGCCGTGAGGGTTCGGTGAGAGTGGATTCTGTCCGTTCAGTCCAGGCAGGTTCTCTTCTCTGAGCTACAGCTTCACCGAGTGTCGAGTTCATCAGTTTTCACACCGTGGGGCCCAGTGTGTGTGAGTGTGTGTGTGAGAAAGAGTGAGTGCTTAATATTCTTGGTGTGTGTTTCAAGCGCTGAATTGCTGTGATTATGTGTGTTATAGTTGGCATGCTTATGTGCTAATAGTGCACATACTGGGCTGAGTGTGTGTGTGTGTGTGTGTGTGTGTGTAGGGGTGGGCAACTGTTCCACTGTCGGCTTTGCCAGATGGTAGCAGGAAAGAAAATGAAAGAAAAAATGAAAAAAAGTAGCCATGGTTCTGCTGGTTGAGGAGGAGTGAAGGCGTCTGAGTCGTTCTGTAGATGCTGAACGACAAGATGTTTCCTCAACTTCTCACATGTTTCTCTTCAAACACAAAAACACTTGATTGTTTACGGTAAAATCGTAGATTTTATTGGGACGTTCATAAGAAATGGTTAGCTTCAAACACAAAAACACTTGATTGTTTGCAGTAAAATAGCCGTAGATTTTATTGGGACGTTCATTAGAAATGGTTAAAATGAATTCTCCTTGTTATTTCTTAGGGATTTGTAATTTAAAAACACATTATGTTTAAATGACTAAATGCAATTGGTAAAAAAACAAAAACTTCCGGGCCAAAGTTGAGACATGTGGTTTGTTAGGACACTGTTGTCTTTACTGTTCTGTTCATCAAAGACGTCCATCAGATGAAGACGAGTTCTTGTTCTTCTTCGTGACTACAGGGCAAAAAAAAAAAAAAACTTCCTCCATTAGTTCAGACTAGTTCAAAATGTTCTTGTGGTGAGACTTTGTCAGAGTCAGGTGTGTTCTCCTAATGAGCTGCGGCTGGAATCACACCTTAGATTAGACGTCACTGTCCCTTTAACACAGTCACTGCTTTGTCTTTCATCAAAGGTTTTTTTTTATGTCATTATTTGTTTATAATCTGATTATAATGAACATGAATTTGCATTTTTGATTAGATTTTTTGATTAGACTTGATCTTGTTAATTAACTGACACCTACATGAGTGAGACTCTAAATGTGAGGTGTATTTTTAGCCCGTGTTTTTCTGATACGACGAGGAGAAGATTTGATCAAACATCCAGATCAAGGTCACATGTCGGTCGAGTTATTGATCGTCTCGCCTCATTATTTGCCGTCATATCCCTCGCCAGCAGAGAAAAAGACACAACGTTTCCAGAAACAAGGGTTTCACCACAAGGATTCAGTTTTTACTGTCGACATTTTATTTTATGACCCGTTCTACCTGTATGGTCACATGGTAGACGTTTATCCAATAATACGAATCGGAGTAATTTCTGACATACTAAGATACGTAACCTTTTTTTTTTTTAAATTGTGAACGGGAATAAGAAAATATCAATACGCCGATAATCACGATATTTCAATTCACGATACTTGATCGATATTCTACTTCGATGGTTCTATTTTTTGCAAAATCTTTTATTTACATATATATTTTCTAGGTTAACAATTAACAATCAACTGTTCCTGGTGTTGGTTCTTTTTATTTTTCTCATCGACCTCATACCACCTCATCGTCGTACCTATATTATCGCAGTATATTGCAATATATCGCATTGTTTCCCCCGTATCGCAATACGTATCGTATCGTCAGATTCTTGCCGACACACAACCCCCCTAATTTTTCACCTTTGATCCAACTCTGTGCTGCACCAGAGCCGACCTCTGAGGTGACGTCAGGGCGTCCGGAGGGTTGGACCTGAGTCGATGTAACCTAGCAGCTCCGACACACCTGCTCAAAGGTTCAGATCCCCGAGGAAACCCTGTCCTCAGGAACAGTCTGCTCTGGTTGGTGGTGCACAGTTACACCGCGAGTGCTGCTCGTTCTTCTCTCCTAAGGTCTAATTATGGGCTGTGGAAGAAGAGAACACTGCTTTAATTGTTGTCGTGTTCTCTGATAAACAAGTCTCTCTTTTCTCTCAGCTAACGCTCGTCGTCTTTTGGGTTTTTCTTGATCACATGATCCTAGGTCCGTTATTGAAAACGTGTGTTTTGTTCAAATTTGACAGCGTGAGTTTATTCAAACAACCGTCCGTTATTGAAAACGTGTGTTTTGTTAAAATGACATTTGACAGCGTGAGTTTATTCAAAGAACCTTTTTTTATATATATAACACACCGTTCCGTATATAAAGGACGCTCTGAGGCGTCTGTACAATTTGCTGTCGTTAATGATTCATGCCGACAGCAAACAGAGTGTGGGCGCGAGGACGGGCTAACAGTAAAATGTCAACAGAAGAAGAGGGAGGTTTGAATTATTGATCTGAAAATATAACTCGTGACTGCGCCCTCTGCTGCTCACCCGACGTCATGTGGCTGCTGTGTTAACACACCTGAAGGTTTTTACAGGTATTAACTGGTCACTGATGACGTGACTTTATTGGGAACCAGCAGTAAAACTGGTAACAGAAACCATCGCTGTTCAATGTTCTCTCTTCCAATTCCAAAAATCTAAATATTTCAGCTCAGCAATCACAGCTCTGAGGAATGATTCAATATTCGCTCACAGCAGCAACCAAACAAATCCACGTCGTTGCCTAAATTAATAATGAGCCGCGTCATGGTGACAGAGTCGGTCAGAAGATGACAGGCAGGTGTCCTCACGTTTGGTCACTGAGTCGTATAAAAGAGAGGAAACGTTGGAGCTGGGAGGAGATTCTGTGACCCCCCCCCAACAATGACATGATTTAATTTGTTTATTTGGACCGACATCAGCGGGAAAACAAGGAAACTGTGTCTGTGGTGAGATGAATTTATTAATTAATGGACAGTGAGTGAAATGTGTGTGGAGGGAATTCCAGCTCATGTAGAGAGAGAGAGAGAGAGAGAGAGAGAGAGAGAGAGGACCATCCTCAGTGTCTGCTGCAGACTTCCATCCTAAACATGCAGAAATATTCAGCAAGGGAGTTGGACTGAAGGTCAGAGGTCACCGTCTCAGCGTCTGATACTTTGCCAACACCATACCAATGTATTCATCTGAGCCTGCTGTCCTCTCATGGACTCTCTCTCCCTCCCTCCTACTCTCTCTCTCTCTCTCCCTCTCTCCCTCCTACTCTCTCTCTTTCTCTCTCGCTGAAGCTAATTTAAGCGGTAATTTTTTTTAACCTATAGGGACTAAATTCCAAAAAAAAAAAAAACAGGAATGAAGCAGTATTTATTTACCAACTGAGTTAAGTGAAAAAACAATGATTTGGTTTGATGTCTTTGTTCTGAATGAGGCTCAAACCTCGGCTCGCTGAGTCAGTGAGGAACTGAAGGAAGACTGTGATGAAGTCAGCAGTGTCACAGCTGTCAGTGTCCTGTCAGTGTCCTGTCAGTGTCCTGTCAGTGTCCTGTCAGTGTCCTGTCAGTCAGATATACTTGTCACCTGTGCATTTATTAAGTCATAACTTTTATTTTATGAACAGGTTTATTAAGACCCGACAGAAGAGGAAAGATCAGAGTGATGAAGCCTCAGGGTTGACTGCTGCCTGTCACAATCTTCCAAAAAAAACATTTCTCTCCCCCCTCCTCCTCCTCCTCCCCCTCCCCCTCCTCCTCCCCCTCTTCCTCCCTCGTCTTCAGGAGAGCACTGTGAGCTTTCATCGCGCTCCGGCCGCTGCACCGCAGGAGTCTGCAGGAACGGCGGCACCTGCGTCAACCTGCTGGTCGGCGGCTTCAAGTGCGAGTGTCCCCCGGGCGGCTACGAGACGCCTTACTGCGAGATGACCACCCGCAACTTCCCTCCGCACTCCTTCCTGACCTTCAAGGGCCTCCGCCAACGCTTCCACTTCACCCTTTCTCTCACGTAAGCGTCTCCACCGAGCCTGCGCGGCTCCGTCACCTCCCTGATCCCCGTGACTCACTCCCCACCCACCTCCACATCCTATTTCTGCAAACACACACTCCCTCAGTGAAGCGCCCCTCGGCGCCCCCCCGCCCCTCACATTTATGTAACCATAATGGTGTTTAATAGCAGTAATGGAATCACTCAACGGTTTCCTACAGAGCCACTTTGGTCTATTACAGCATCGGTGGTAAAAAATACTGAAGTACCGTCGTCAGTGAAAAGGTGTCAGAGATTTGAGTTGAAAAAGATTCACATGAACAGAAATAAAAAAGTGCTTCTAAATGGAGGCACTCGTATAAACGGAGAATCTTAATCGTTCAGCACAAAGTGAGACTCGTGTTAATGAAGTGTCGTCGTTAAATCATGTGACCAGAGCGGAGGGGTGAACGTGACACTCCCCCTCACTCCTCCGGCTCACAGCTGAACCAGACCACTCTGCTAAGATCACACCACTCGCCGTTTGTTTGATGGCTTGTGAACATTAATATCATAAATATGACCGAATGCAGCAGGTCGTCAGATAAAATGTAGCCTTTGACGGTAAAACAAAAATTAATTAGTCAAAAACATGAAACCTGATCTGATAAAGAAAACATGAATTTACTAAAGCGTGTGGCTTAAAAGGCTTTGCAAAAAACAACAATCAAAAAATTAGCAAGAAAGTGTTTCATGTTGCATTGCACTTGAATTGATATTTTGAATCATATTTAACATTAGTTTAATTATTTAAATGTGTTCAGTGTTTAAAACTATCATGACATCTTCACAGGTCGCTGAGCTGGATGTTAAAATTAGCCGTCATTCTCCTTTAATGTCAGGTTCTAAAGTCGTGTCTAAACCATCTGAACAGAACACCTAGTGGACAAACTGTGAAAAGGCCGAGCTCAGATCTGTGGCAGACGTTCTATAGGATGAAATAAACTCCGTGATAAAAGACGTCTGTTCTTGTTTTGATACCTGTCAAAAGAATCAAAACGAGGGTCGCCTGCTGTCTCCAGGGCCGTCACGGTGAATGTGTTCGGCCATTTTTGCTTTGGTGATTGTAGTTTGTGTCACCTTAGACGTGTTTGGCAGATCCGTCTCCTACAATAGCTGCCAGCTGAAACCCTAACCTCCCCCCACCCCCCCGCTCCCCCCTGGTGGATCTTTGTGGACTCCGGCTGCAGCCTGGTTCAGGTGACGCTCCTCTTTTTGAGGGCGAACCGCTCAGACCAGTTCTGAAGGCGGCGTATGTGTTGGCAGGTCAGAGGAGCTGTGAAGTGGCTGTGGTGTGTAAAAAAAAAACTGATGAAACCCAGAGCTTCAGGCAGGTGAGGTCAACAAGTGGCTCTGTTACCTGAGACGGCAGCGATCCGGTTTCTCCCAGAAGGAGCTTGTGTAACGAGGACGGGCTCAGAATGTGGGTCCTGTTCTCTCAGACACACGGGGCTAATTTTAGGACTCTTTTTATCTGGACTTTTTCATTTAAGGCTGAGATTTCACTGAAACACAGAGAGTGATTGGTCTGAGTGACGGGGGGGGGGGGGGGGGGTTAGGTCTTTGATCCTGGGCTACGGTTTTTATCACATTCCACAAAATCACACCTGTGGCGTCACGATAAATACCTGTGAGTAACACGAAGTACTCAAACGGTAACACGAGCGTTGTTATTATTTAACGTTCTTCAACACTGGGTTGAAGAGAAGAATCAGACAAACACAGACACAGACTGACGTTTGTCCTCTCCAGGTAATCCACTGCTGGAGGGCAGGGGGCGCTGCTGCCAGTCAGCCGAGATTTGAACCTGCAATTCTCTTAAACACAAGCCTGAGGTAGAAAAAGAACTATAAATACATAAAATATTTCAAACTGAAATGGGTTATGAATGCGTTTGCTTGATTTATTTTTATTTTTCAGGCAAAAAGACAAAAAAAGATTGTTTGAAACTTCTTAGTTCCGTTGGTAAGATTTGACATTTACTAAACACCCCAGAAAAGTTGAAAACAGAATTATTTACCGCTGGACCACGACAACTTTTTTGTCGTTTTAGTTTCACTTTTTAAACGGTTGTAAACCGAGGAGGTGGAATGACGCAGTAGAAACTGTCGACTGTTTTCTTCTTCACGTTAACTCTGTCAGACAGGAGACGGATCTGGACCGCAGGCAGGACAGTCAGGCAGATGGACAGCACTCAGTGGCTGCTATTTCTACATTTTTGTATTTTTTCAGACTCGATCCTGTTGAAAAATATATTACGTTTGACTGGATTTTTATTTATTTATTTATTTTTATCTTCATTAACTCTGCGTTAACCTTTTTAAATATTCATCTCTCCGATCACCACGATGCTGCAGTGAAAGTAGTTTCTACAGTAACTGTAAAATAATGGTGACTTTTCTCAGAGCAGAGTGAGGTTCTCCTGTCTTCTGGTTCCATCCTCTTCTCTCCCTCCCCCCTCCCCCCACTCCCTCCCCCTCTCTGACACATTCTCATGCAGCCTTTCCTGACACAGACCTGTGTCTTGTGCTTCACTGAGTTACGTGGGAAAATATAAATCTGTCAACTTGTCATTTCTGATTTAACTGATTGACTGTCGCTGCTGTTCTGTCTTTGGCGTCGACTCCCGTCGGTCTGTGTCAACGTACGGTCGTACAGTAGTGACGGGGTTTATTACTGTTCCCTCACATCCACAGCCTGTTACTCCATCGAGGGTCTTATTGTTATCATCGTTGTTTCCGCTCCACTGCACTTGTCATATTAGAATGGACTGACACACTTTCCTACACCGCCCCCGACTGGTTGTTTTTTTTACTGATGGCTCGGCGTTATTGTCAGTTAGGTCAGCGTTTAGTTCCGGCTGATTACCCTCCAAGCTCGGAGGTCTTTTAAATCAATAAGTCAGAAAGTAGAAACCCCACCACCTCCACGAATGTCTCCCCCCTCCTCACCCCCGTCACCCCCCCATCCAGCCGTGCAGCAGACTGTGGGACCGTGATTCTGGCTGACACTGTGGGTTTTTCTTTTTCTCACAGGATGTTTAGCAGCTGCGTCGTCTCTTCAGTCACAGTGTCGTCGGCCGCAGCATCCTCTCTCCTCGGAGGTCGCGGTCGGGGTTTTTCTTAGTATAAGCAGGTCAGCGGTGGCGTGCCCTCGGGGCTCCGCCGCTGCTCAACAACACTGCACTTCACGTCAACCACACTGTAACGACTCTGAATCCTGAGGAGAGGAGGAAGTGTGCTGAGGTTGACCTTTGTCAAACTGAGATAATCAGCTCCTCAGAGAGAGAGAGAGAGAGAGAGAGAGAGAGAGAGGAGGGAAATGAAGCTGCATGTTAATGCAGTCAGTGACCAGTGACAGACGGGAGAGTCGTACTCGTACGAGAGTTTCTAACATATCCCAGTTTCCCACTGACCCATTTCCACAGGTTCAAATTTATAAATACACACACAGCTGACGGTTGAATGTGATATTTTTAAACTAAATTTCAAACGTCTATGTTAGCAGTAGCACTCTGGTGCTGCAGTTAAATGTATATAGATTTTTTTTTAATTTTTGGGCAGGTTTCGGGGGGGGTGTATTGGCAATAAGGATCATACAACACAGAAACCTTTATTTGTCTCAGTCTGCGTCCTTGTATAAACCACTGGTGGATGTGTGTTCTCCATCCGACTGCGATGTATTTTTAACAAGTCATCACTCTGCAGCAGTCTGCTTCCATACGTCCAGTTGAAAACACCCCCACTCTGCAGCAGTAACGCTGCCCTAGTTTCCTGCCTGTGGGTTGTTAGTGATCCGTCTGGTCTGAACCCTAGACTCTGGACCCTGTGGTGACGCTGCCCATCTCTGCACACAGAGATTCATTATTGTGCACTATATTAATTATGTTTTTTTTTTCTTTTCATTCCAGATTTGCCACCAAAGAACCCAACGGTTTGTTGCTCTACAACGGCCGCTTCAACGAGAAACACGACTTTATTGCTGTGGAGATTATCAACCAGCAGATTCAGCTCACCTTCTCTGCAGGTACGGAAACTACTGGAACAACGACATTTTTAATCAGTATATATATGAAGAGAGTGCTGCTGACCCCCCGCCCCCCTCTGCACCCCTCTGTGTTTCTCAGGTGAGACCAAAACCACAGTGTCCCCCCACGTCATCGGAGGAGTCAGCGACGGCCTGTGGCACCTGGTGGACATTCACTATTACAACAAGGTAAAAAAAATGAAAATAAATGAGTAAAAGAGTAGTAGTCGTTGTAGCAATAAAACGATAAAAAACGGCTGAAGAATAAGAAGTTTCTTATTCAACTTCGATTTGGCCGAAATAAGATGTTAGCACGGGTTTAAACAGTGTGAACAAGGAGTGAAATCACTTCACACTTCATTTCCTCAGCGGTCCACAGCGATGGCACTTTCTCAGAACAGAGTGCAGCTCCATCACAGAGTCACTGTAGGGAATGTGAACCACAGAGCGGACAGTGTTGTTGTGCTCTGTCCGACTCAGAGAATCACTGCTGACAACCTGACGGACTGGA